TTACTATAGTAATTTGTACAACTCTACTCATTTTATCCACAATAAAATGGTTGGTGTGACACCAGCTGCACATGTCAATTGTCCTGAATGGCCCACATTCTCCAGATGCAAAATAAGGGAGATAAAGCATCTTACTTTTTGAATATGACAGAAAATGGTGTTGAAGGGAAATATAGAAGACAAGGGAAGATTTATGGAAACTCAGATAGGATAATAATTACATGAATTCAATATAAGTAGAGCTGTGTGAACATTTGGCAACACAACACAAAACCATGAGAAACTCTGCTAGTTTGGGATTCAAACGTGGGGGGGGAAACAGCCAAATTTCATGTCAGTTTTATTTACTTTTTACGAATCTCTCATTGAAAGGCAAAGACAAGACATTTTGCTTTATTTTGATAGGTACACTTTTGAGATGGATGTATTTAGCTCTACATTTTATCTGATCTTGACGTGTCAATATAATCCAACTTGATTTTTTTTCTTAGCTGTGCATTTAGACAATAGAATTTGGTTCTCTCTAATGCAGGTAAAATATCATTAGCATATTCATCAAATAGATTGTGTACCTGGCCTAGTAAATTTTTATGATAATTTCCCAAGGTCGATATAATAGCAGTCTGTTCTGGGGCATGTTACACATTTGGATTACCTTTAGATAATCAGGCTGAATTCAGCCGCTGAAATTTGCACATTAGTTTCTATTGTATGATTGTATCCATCATGTGTATGACATTCCACCTCGTCAGATGATGAGGAGCCTGGCATCCAATGGCATTTGTCACATCAAACTTTACTGCATTTCTTTCTTACCATATTTTATTACAGATCAAAAAGCTAATTAAAAAATTTATTGCCAAGCAAGAGACTATAAATTTGGTAGTGGTGCCAAGTAATGTGGATATCGCAACAACAGAGGCACTTAAAATGGCTCAAGAGGTAGACCCTGATGGAGAGAGAACGTTAGGTGAGACATACTTTTAAAAAAATGGAAATGTGGGGAAGGTAGATCATTTTTCATGGCATTCTAATATTCTTCCCACCCTGCCCCAACCCTGGAAAGAATTACCCGCTATGAGGGAAAAACAACCAGTATGAAATAACATGAATTTTGCACACCACTAAAAGGGAACCAATATCTAAAGGGATAGCTTAATTTGGGGCCCTACTGCCATTGATACTATGCCTACAAATATCTTGAAAACTGAAAAGATTAAAAGTTAATATTGTAAAAGCTCTGCTATTAATTTGATATCCCTGAGGTGTTCCTGAAAAAGGTGAAGGGAAGAGAGAGAGGTTGGGGTGGGGGGGAACTTACAGCACCGCTGGAGAAGTCACTTTAGCATATGCTGTCGGGAACAATGCTGCATTGGGTAACTAGATACTCTTTCCCATCATTAATTTCCGTGCTTGTCTAATCTTCTCATCATATTACTTCCCAGGGATCCTAACAAAACCAGATTTGGTGGACAGAGGAACTGAGTCATCGGTTGTTGATATCGTACAAAACCTTGTCATCCAGCTAAGGAAGGGTTATATGATTGTTAAATGTCGTGGGCAGCAAGATATTCATGACAAGCTCACCCTGGCCTCTGCAATCCAGAAGGAGAGAGCATTCTTTGAGCAGCATGAACACTTTAGGTAGTTTTCAAATAGTTAAAGGGCCTGATCCAAAGTCCATTGAGGTCAATGGAAAGATTCCTGATGACTCCCATCGGATTTGGATTAGGTCCACAATGAGAATTATCCTCAAATTTAGCTTGGGGTGGGGCTTTGTTTGTTTGCATTGTCTGTGTGGTAGTGTTTTCCAAAATGTAAGAAAGAATTTACATGTCAAATAACTTCTCAACTTAAACTCAACTTCTTTTCAGATTCAAGTTTGATTTAAGCCCTGATCCAAATTTTTTTTTTAAACATGCTGACCACTAAACTCTGAAGTAGTCCCAAAGGAATCAAGTTAAGCACTTGTTTTAAAGTGCTTTGTTGGCTCAGGCATTAACGCATATCGTTCTGTCCACTGGAAAGTATGGGGAAACTCACAGGAAAGATATGGTCTGTGTCAGGAGAACGCTGTCCTCCACAAACTATTGCTCTTCAGCGTTTCATGCATAAAGAGAATTTTTGAACCCGAAAGTGGTTCTGAATGAGTATCCCTACCATATATAGCAGTACATACGTTCTTATAATACAGCAATTTATGTGGATATTCTCATCTCATGATCTTTTTCTGAAGTTATGGATCTGAACCTTTTTCTGTTCTCAGTCTGTTCAGCAAACAGCTCATCATTTCAAATCTAATCTTGCACAAAAGCAGATTTGGCAGGATGTAGTGAGGCTACTGCTGCACCTTCACTAGCATTCCCCTGCTTGATCTGAAGAAACTGTATTTACCTGCTTTGTGTTGCAGAACTAGGGAAGACACTGCTCTCTTGTTTGGCAAATGCGAGGCGTCTATATTCATATGCCTTATTCTGTTTCAGAGTTCTTCTGGATGAAAACAAGGCTACTATCCCCATTTTGGCAGAGAAACTTACAACTGAGCTTGTGGAACACATTAATGTAAGTTAACAAAGAAACACTTTACATGAGTAACCATTTAAAAAAAAATAGGACCCGATCCTGCAGTTTTGGAGGACTGAGCCCGTAAAAATTATTTCTATGAATAGCCTTTAATTACCCCGCCTGATGGCAATCTGGAAGTACATGGTCCACTATACTGAGCCTTGGCTTGGCAGTCAGGTGTAGAGCTGGGCGGATAATTGATTTTTCAGTTCAGTGCCCAACCGGGGGAATTATTCAGCTTGGTTCCAATAATGTTTGGAATTTGTCAGTAAATTGGAAAAGTCCAGCTCTTCCCCAGCTGAAACTATCGGGTCGACTGAAACTTCATTTTTCAGGTAAATAAATTATTCATTGAAAAATTTTACCCAGCGATAGTCAGCTGACCAGTATTCTATTCTCAGCTTTGCTGCTGACCTACTGTTTAACCATGGGCAAATCACGTAATCTCTCCGTGACTCAATGTTCCTGTCTTTAAAGTAGGGATTCTGATACTTGCTTTCCTTTGTAAAGCGCTTTGAGATCTATGGATGAATAGTGCTAACTAGAGCGAACTATTATCATAATTGTCAACTTTTGGAAGCCTGAATAATTTATATACAGTAAATATGAAATATTTTAGATACTATGTGTGCTTTTTATAAACAACTGTTTAATAATAATGGAAAGGTTCCTGAGATGCACTGGTCCTCTAAATAGGATGCTGTACTAGACCAGCAAAGCAACACTGCTTTTTTTTTTTTAATGTAAGAGAAGCACCGAAGAACAACACTCTTTAAACCTTCCCCATTTTTTTCTCAGTACAGGCAGTGTTGGTTTAGACTACAGAGCATACCTGGACTTTTAAGGGCAGTGCAAGATTCATAAATCTCCATGTCACACTCTGAAATGCTCTATTTCTTTCAAAGAATGGAATTGTCCAAACTGTACAAGTATTGTTGTTTTTTCTCCCCTAGAAATCTTTGCCCGCTTTAGAAGAGCAAATAAACATTCAACTCCAAAAAGCAACTGGAGAGTTACTCAAATATGGCAAAGGCACACCAAAAGCAGAAGACGAGAAGTTGTTTTTCCTAATAGATGCAAGTATAAATATGTATTTGGTTGTGTGGCACAGCAAAGAGATCTGAACAATTACTAAACTTTCCTGATTTTGATAAGCTCAGGAATTTCAAAGGGAACAAATTCATTTCTGCCATCAACACTTTGTAGGGCTTTCATTGCTTACAACACACATAAGCCTAAGTGCATCCCTGGATTTAAACCATGGATGTGCTTGGCTCATGGTGTCCAGTTTGATGAAGCTCTTCCACCTATCTCTTTACTAGGAACCCCATCCAGAGGTTATGGGTCTATTACTGGTGTGGGTTGGTGAGATTTGGTGGCCTGCGATGTCTAGGAAGTCAGACTAGGTGATCATGATGATCCTTTCTGGCCTTAAAGTCTGAGACCTACTATGGTGAATGGCTGTTCCCACAGTCCCTGGATAGGCTGCTCCCACAAAGACCTTCTTCCAGTCCCCCAAGTGCACCCCCATCAGGATGCAGGCCCGTGCCTCCACTTCTCTTTGGGGTGGGATGCTGTGATCCAATCACTCTCTGACTGGGTCTCCAGGTTACACCTCCCTGGCTGCCAACCGTACTACTTAGCAGGTCCAGCTGATCTTGGGCCCTGCCAAAGTTCTCCTCTGGGATTACGTGTTACCATATGTTTGCAGGGAGACAGCAGAGACGACCCATAAGTGCTGATAGTGGGGGGGGGGGCACAAGTTAAAGGTTCGGCCATCCCCGGAACAGCTCAAGTCATGCCTCCCCAGAGAGGAAGGCTCCCCCACTTACCCTCAGTCTCTCCTCCCCACCCCATCCCAGAAAGCAGCGGCCCCCTCCCTGTAGCTCCCAGCTGTTGCTGCTGCCTTTCCCTGTGGGGTGCAGCTCAGGCTCCAGCAGCATATTCCCTTACCCAAGCTTAACCTCTCTGTCCACAGCTCAGGCAGATCTAACGTTTTCCCCATCTCTGAGTTGGGAGAACCAGTCTACACTGCTTGCAACAAGCTTCCTCTGCCTCTGAATGAGACCTCACAGCCTGTCAGCTGTTTTACAGACACTCACAGGGCCACCCCTCCCCTGTCACTTGAAGTCCCCTCCCTTTGATATAGTCTGTGAGGTCGCAGCTTTGGCAAAACAAAACTTCTTAACAGAACCTTTGAGCGGGCTCGAGTTCACTTCGTTGCCGTTCTCCAGTGCCTAAAAAACCCCAACTCCCCTAGAAAAGTAGCTGGAGACCCAGAATTCAGTCTCTAAGGATTTTCAGCAAGGATTGCACAGGGTCAACCTCCCCACATTCAAATCCCCAAAGAAATTAATTTAAGTAACAACTTTATAAAATCTTATGTGAAAGAAACAAATAACAGTAATTTAATTTTTACAGCCTAACATGGCTATTTTATAATCCACAGGCATTATCTTCACAGTTTTACATTAACATAAATAATGAAAACAAATTAAAATCTGAACAGTTCAGACCCCACACAAACAGTATGAAGAAGAAACTGAGAGTTCCCAAAAGCTTAGGTTGAGTTCACCCGAGTCTCAGTTAGAGTCTTTGACTGGGCCACCCAGAGGATTCAGGGGGCCTGGGGAACTACCTCTCCAGAACAGGACTGAGGCACATGGACAGAATGCTGGTGGAGAAGTTCGTACATCTGCTGTCCTGGCTGATAACTAGACAACTTCAGACTCAAAGGCTGTCAGGAGCAGTAAATTTAAAACAAAAAGAAAAGAAAAAAAGAACAACTTTTTCAAAAGTAGGTGTTTACAATTAGGTACCTCAAGCCAAATATAGGCACCCAAACAAATGATTTTCAAAAATGCTGGGCACCCACCCACTGCCACGAAAATCAGGCCACTTGTATAGGTGCCTGAATCTGGATTTAGGAGCCAGTTATAGGCACCATTTCTGAAAATCTTGGCTGATGTTAGATCAGCTTTTAGGGTAAAGAGAAAGGGACAAAGGAGGTGAATTAAGATTTAGGTTGGGATTTTCAAAAGCACCAAAGTGAGTTAGCAACACAAATCCCATTGATTTGTAGAGCAGTTCAATGACAGAACTTGGTCAATATGACATTATAGCGTTCCATGGTTACGTCTCAATGATTTCCATAACACATGTCCTCAGTTTACAAATATAAGATGGTGGTTGTTTTTTCTAACTGCCAGGCTGCAGTCTCAACCTGAGATCTGCAAGTCAATCTGGATACTTTTCTTTTTGAATGTCCTCCCAGTAATATAGGTTCTGCAGAAAAAAATAGGCCCTCAGCATTGATACCTGTGTAACTCCACCAATCTTCATTGGCTCTGCATAAATCTAACTGATGGGAATTTAATAAAAGATTCCCTTGATCCAGAAGGAAAATAGAATCAAGTTCACTCTTGCTCAGCTATGCTGCCTTTACAGAACTCAGAGTGGTTTTTCTAAATCTCATTACAGAAAATCAAACTGTTTAATCAAGACATCGTGAGTTCAGTGGTGGGAGAAGAAAAGTTGTTTGAAAATGAAATTAGACTGTTTACAAAAATCCGCACAGAGTTTCAAAAATGGGGGAAGATACTCGATGACAGTGCATTGACTGGTAAGTACAGGGGATTGCCTGTGAAGCTGCTATGAAATACTCAACTTCACTTATTTGGACTGAAGTTGTAATACAGCTAATAGATCATGTTAATGAAATTAAAAACTTGAAGTGATGAGAATTTATCTACCCAGATCCCCAGCTGGTGTGAACTCACATAGCTCCATTGAAATCAATGGATTCCCTCCATTTCCATTGAAGTCAATGATGCAAGGACAATTTCATCAGCTGACAATATGCCCTTGATTCTTTGAATAACTTATATTAAAAAGATTTTTAAAAGTCTATGGTTTAAAGTCTAGCAATTTATGAGTAATAAAATAACCACCAAAAGAACACCCATGTTTCCCAGTTAACCCAGTCTGCTAATTGCTTACTGAATCCAGATCTAAAAGGAGAAGAATGTCTCACAGAAATTGAACCTTAACATCAGCTGAAAGCATTTCTAAACCTCTCAGAATACCCATTAATTCTTCCTCATGGCGAAGATGAAGCACATATTTCTGTCGAGCAGCACCTATTGCTATATGTTTTTATCTGTCCGTGCATGTCTACATAAACATTACTAAATGTAATTCTAAATGAATTGTTACAAAATGTATGTAGGGTACATGTCACTGAGGGGCAACTACATTTAGACACAGGTGTTTTCTATTGTCTAATCTGTCCTATCCCACCACATACCCAGAGCTAGTTAATCTAAAGGTATTAGGTGAGTGAAAAAAGTAGGAAAGAGGAGATAGCAGGTGAACACAAACACAGGAAAAATAGAAGAGGAGAAAGCCAGTAAAAACTAGTTTCTTTATGATGTTACTTATTCCCTTTGAGAATCAATTGAAGCGCTTGTGTGTGTGAATGGGAGGTGCACCTGCATTGCATGTAAAATGGAGATAATGATACTTCTGCCTTCCTTGAGATCTACCCATGAAAAGCACGGAGTATGAGGCAGGTATTATTGTTTATATAGCTGACGTCATTGCAAGGTAAGTTCATCTAACAGTTCTAGTTGCAGATCATTAGAGAGCTGGAATAAATATTAAAAATAGCAGATAAATGGAACAGTCAGGACTTTTACTAAATTATGCAGGCTTTTGGGCTCTCTATTGTAAAGTACATTGGAAGATGTTTTTCTGGTTGACTGATTAATTTTACAAACCCCTATACACCATCCTTCTAAAGTTTTGCCTCTCAAACTCCAATCTATTTGACAGAAACTACACCACAATTTTTTTGGTAGTGTTTTACTATAAGCCCATAAGTATTTGAAATCTCTTGGAGTTTCTGAGATGAATGGTCCTTAAGAACTGAATGCAGCGTTACCTGTGTACTTCCTGCCTCCAGTCATGCATGATTATGCTACAATTCCTATATCTACCCACAATAAATCAAGATTTGACACCTTTAAAGCACTAGTAAATGTGGATGTGAGGTACACATGTATCAGTCAGAGAGGAACAATATTATTTAGGGTGGCAAATTTCTTCAATGTTAACAATGTTTTAGTGACGATGTTGTTTGAGTGTTCCAGGAAGTTTAGATTAGACTTCCTTATATGTGGCTGTCAAATTGTTTTACATCTTCCTCTAAAGCATCATGTATTGGCCACTGCTGAGAGGGTATCAGACTGATAGGGGTTGCTGTACTGGATCAGAATACTGGCCCATGTTCCTGTTTCCATTAGTTTATATGGTCATCTCAATGAGTGAAACAGTTCATTCTTAGAAGTAGTAACGGCATATTTTGGCTCAATTCTACAAAAATGAACTTGCTTAAATGATGAGCTGTGTATTAGTTCTTCCAGTTAAAAGTGTCTTCAGAACAAAGAACTAAACTTCCACTTTAAATCCATAATTGTCTTTATAAATTCATTAGATTTGTTATATTAAAATAGTGCTGTTGTTTTAATATTATAGATAGAAAAACTATACAACATGAAGTGTGGAGATTTGAAGAACAGTATCGTGGAAGAGAGCTCCCAGGGTTTACCAGTTACAAGACATTTGAGGCCATTGTAAGACAGAGAATCATGGCACTAGAAAAACCAGCTATTGAGATGCTGAAGAAAGTAATTGGTGAGTTTCATTTACTAAGTTTATCCCAAGCTTCAGAAATATTGTTTTGTCTAGATTTTGGTTGACATGGCAAGAGCTGTATCTTGGCTGCTTCAGGCAGGGGAAAATGAATCTGAATCAAACCAGTTTCAAGCCAAGGGACTGATCTTTAGACCTCAAACCTCTATGCCCGGTATTCAGACTTTGACAGTACAAAATTCCTAAATGGACATTATTTCTGAAAAAGTTAGAAATGGACCACGATAGGAAAATAAAAAATCATCATAGATATGACCAGGAGGGATTAAAAATTGAATAGATGAGGCATAACTCAATGACAGTGTCCTTTGGCTAGATATGGAGAATGACCAGTTTTCATAAATCTTGTACTACCAGTAGCTCAGTCCTTTATTTTTTGTCTCTTTTCTCCCCACAGAAATTGTCCGAAAATCTTTCACAGAGGTTTCCAAAGATCATTTTGACGATTTTCAAAATCTTAACAGAGCTGCTAAGGTGAGACACCACATGCTGTCCAGAGAAGAGCAACAAAAATGATTAAAAGTCTGGAAAACATGACCTATGAGGGAAGCTTGATAAAATTGGGTTTGTTTAGTTTGGAGAAGAGGGGACTGAGGGAGGACGTCAGAAGTTTTCAAGTACATAAAAGGTTGTTACAAGGGCAAAGATGAAAAATTGTTCTCCTTAACCTCCCAGGACAGGGCAGGAAGCAATGGGCTTTAATTGCAGCAAGGAAAGTTTAGGTTGAACATTAGGAAAAACTTCCTAACTGTCAAGGTAGTTAAGCACTGGAAAATATTGTCAAGGGAAGGTGTGGAATCTCCATCTTCTGAGGTTTTTAGAACAGGTTACACAAAGATCCATTAAGAATGGTCTAATTATTGTGTAGTCCTGCCTTGAGTGCAGAGGATTGGACTAGATGACCTCTTGAGGTCCCTTCTAATCTGACACTTCTATGATTTTATGTAACCTGATATAAGACAAGCAATACTCAATGGCATAATGTATTGTATATAGAACTACATGTTACTCCTTCACTCTTGATCAGTCAGTTTTTTGATTGTTGTACCTTTAAGCAACTTGTGGAGATTCCTGCACTTTTATGAATATGTTGTGCAATAAGGTAACAGAGAAACTGTAAATAAATGGAAATTTTTATACACAGGAGAAATTAAGGTTTGTTACATCATCCAGTAACATTGTCATTGCTATAAACTGTACATTTCCCAGTTTCTTGAATGGATTGCACTATACTTTACACTATATATGTGCATAGCACTGCACACAACAAAGATTGAGTCCCTGCCCCAAAGAGTTTACAATCTCAGATTTCATTCCTGCAGGGACTTAAGCATGTAAGTACTCCCAGAGAGTTAAATGGGACTACTTAAAGTCAAGCATGCGTATAAGTCTTTGCAGTGCCTGTGTTAAGCCAGGAACACAAAACAACACCACAGGGAGTGGAAAGGCCAAAGACAATATGATGATGGGTCTGCTTAGGAGATTTATATATATCATGTGGGGGAGAACTCTTTTTTTTTTTCCTTTTTCCTTTTAAATGCTATTATGGTCACTTAAGAACTAAGATTTGAGAAAAGACTTTGAGAGAGAGGTTGGAAGCCACAAATGGACAGTCAGGAAAGGGCTGCCACTCACAGGGAACTGCCTGAAAGAAGGCCCAGAGGCATACACAAGATAGAGACATTTATGGCCTAATTTTCAAAAGTCATTTTGAAATCTCTGGGAGATGCAGGGGCTCAGCAGCTTTGAAAAATCAGGCAGCAATGAGGTAAGTGACTTTGTCTGAGCAAAGAGGGAAGGGAGATTAAAGGAGACAAGAGCAGATGGGGAAGAAGGAAGGCACTACCTTGTGGAAGTCCTTGAAGCTGAGAACAAAGCTGAATTTGGCTCGGGAGGCAATGTGGATCCTTTTAAGAAGGTTTGAATGTAATTGTAGCACTGAGGAGAGGTAGATGATTTTCCCACTAAAGTTTTGGGTGGATTGAAAGGGTAAGGAATCTGGAAGGCCAGAGAGGAGGGGTTGCTATAGCTGAACTATTAGATGCTCAGTGCCTGGCTGAAGATTGGTTGGTTGGGCGTGGCCAAAGGTGTGGATTTTGTTCTCAGGGAACTCAAGCGGCAGGCTTTTGGCTTTTCCTGTCCACAAGTGTAATGGGGGCACAAGGCAATGTGGCCTCTCCTGCCCCCATGCACCAGGTGACAAGGAGCCAGAATCTGGCTCTTACCGTGTGCTCTTGGGAACCCTGTGACACCATGTCACATGTTACCTGTCATAGGGGGCTAGTCCTGTACTCACCTGTACCACCTGTTGCTTAGTGGATTTTGATAGTTTTCTTCCCCCCTTTCTCCCCCTTCACAGGACAGAATTGAAGACATTAGCAAGAAACAATCAGAGGAAGCTGAAACAATTATCAGAATCCATTTTAAAATGGAGCAGCTTGTATACTGCCAGGACAATGTTTACAGACAAGACTTAAAAGTTATCAGGAAAGAAACACCAAAGGAAGCAGCCAACAGTCTGAACCCGGTCTCCTTGAGTTTCAATTTTGGACCTGTCCAGAACCACCCTGCCGTTAAGGATATGACTTATCACCTGGAGGCATACTTCAGTGTGAGTTTATGGATTCCTACCACAGCAGTTTTTATTCCATTCCAAATACTGCAGCATGTACTAATCCCATTCCCTTTGCAGTTTTTAATTTAAGAAAACACTGGTAACATTTATAAGCCATATAATCCCCCCCCTTGATGTCCATGGCTAACATCTTTTTGTATTAACTAGAATTTTGAACAGCCGATGCAAAATGTCTATGGGCAAATTTAGACGTGATGTGAAAGGCATGTACAGTACAGTATCAATGTACAGAATTGTTATGTAGGTATAGTTACAGGTTGAGTGTATAACAGAGGCTTGCTTCATCATGCTGCCATAGGCGCTGACTCCGTGGGTGCTCCAGGGCTGGAGCAACCACAGGGAAAAATTAGTGGGTGCTCTGCACCCACTGGCAGCCAAGCTCCCCTCACCCCCCACCCCCTGCCCCACCACCTCCTGCTCCTCCATCCCTGAACGGGTCGCGTCCCTGCTCCTCCACCTACACAGCTTCCCACCCAGCCGCTGCCAAACAGCTGTCTGGCGGCATTAGCAAGCTCCGGTAGGGATGGGGAGAAGTGGGAACGTGGTACGCTCAGGGGAAGAGACAGGGACGGGGAGGGGATTTGCGGAAGGAGTTGGAATAGGGGCAGGGAGGGGGCAGAGTTGGGGTGGGGACTTTGGGGAAGGGGTTGAAATGGGGGCAGGGCAAGTGTGGGAAGAGGTGGGGCAGGGGCGGGGCCTCATGGAAGGGGTGGAGTGGGGGTAGGGCCAGGGGCAGAGGGGGGGTTGAGCACCCACAGGAAAGTGGGGAAGTCGGCGCCTATGCATGCTGCATCTGCCTTTTGATTGCTTTTCCTGCTCTAAGTTCTTTAGCCTCAGCCTGGTCTACAGCAATGCACCACCACCAAAATGCAGGTGCAATGGCACAAAATGGATGTATCTGGAGATACAAATCAGTACATCCATAAAACTAGGGGCAGCTATTGAACAAACAGGCCTCACTTTCCATTTTGTTCTCATGGAGAGAACAAACATATTATCAGGGGCAGCTCCAGGCACCAGCGCAGCAAGGGCGTGCCTGGGGCGGCTAGCCATGGGGGGTGGTGTGCTGGTTGCTGTGAGGGCAGCAGTCTCAGGCAGCCTTCAGTGCATGCCTGCGGGAGGTCCGCCGGTCCCGCGGCTTCAGCGGCAATTCGGCGGCAGGTAGGCGCGCGACCGGCGGATCACCCGCAGAAACGCTGCCAAATCCGCGTGACCAGCCGCCAAAGGCCGCCTGATTGCCGTGCTTGGGGCGGCAAAACCATAGAGCCGCCCCTGCATATTATTTCAGTTATTAGAAGTGGTTATTTTATCAGTAGATGTTATGAGGTAGGGTGAAAAGGCAAAAGAGAACTTGCTTTTATATCATCTCACACAGACTTGTGGTGTCCTAAAGTGCTTCACTTGGCAATAGGTTAAATAACACTAGAGCAGTGAATCTGCAGCAAAGAGCCATTAGACACTCAGCAAATTTTTCAAGAGACCCCATGCAGTTAAGTGCCATTGATTTTATATGAGAATTAGGTTCCTAGGTGTGTCACTTTCGAAAAGGGGATTTAAGCACCTAAATACTCTTGACAATTTTACCCTCAGCTTGATGATTTGAAAGGAGAAATGTTGGGCAATAGACTGAGATTTCTCACAAAAGTGTCCTTCATTTAA